CCACTGGTTCCCAATCCTGCACAGCCATCGCATAATGCAAACTATAGTGAGACCAACTTGAAAAGTTCTCATAACTTTTAACATTCTCAGCTCTCTATTCATGGTCCAAAATCTCTCTCTATTTTAAAAGACCTAGGACTATCTCTTAAGTTCCTCAACACACATACACACACACACACACACACACACACACACAGAGAGAGAGAGAGAGAGAGAGAGAGAGAGAGACTATACACCTCTATCATACAATATCAAGAAGTAAACATTCCCTGTACAAAAGCAACAGCAACAACAAAATCACAAGACTGAAAACTTATCAGGGAAAACACCAAGACATCTAGTCTTGTGGCTAGCTTGTGAAGTGTGAAGCTCTTGTTGGCACTATCTACACTTCAAAGCTTGGAAAACAGTTGCACATAGCCTTTCCCCTGGTGTGGCTTCACTCCACGCGTGTGTCTTCCTTTGGAGTTTCCACTGAAATTTAAACTCACATTCATAGTATCACTCAGTGTCTTCTAAGGGTCTCCTCTCATGGAACGTGTCCTGTAAAACATTTCCTGGCCTCCATGGCTTTCTAAAACCTTAGTACTTGACATTTTGCCACTCCATGGCATATACTGCTCATGACTACCAAACCAGCACTGTGTGGGTACACTGCTAAATTCTGCTACCAGATATAGACATATGTAGCTGGAAGCTTTTTTTGTCTCATCTGGGTCCAGAGAACCAGTTATCCTGCTTGCAGGTTCCAATAATTGGTTACTGAATAATCAATTATGCAGAGGCTAATATTAATACAATTGATTGGCCAATGGCTTAGGCTATTACTGGCTAGTTCTCACATGCAAATTAACACATTTCTAATAATCCATATATCACCACATGGCCGAGGTGTTACCTTACGTGTTCTGGCATCCTGTTCTATGGATAGCTGCTAAGATATCTCTTGACTCTGCTTTTCTTTCTACCTGTATTCAGTTGAGCTTTTCCTTCTGATTATATTCTATCTTGCCGAAGGCCAAAGCATGTTCTTTATTAACCAATTGGAGGAATACATATTCACAGGGTACAGGACATCACCAGTCACTTCCCCTTTTCTTTCTAATTGAAAATGATATTCAGTATTAAAACAGTAAAATTACATGCAGCAAAACAGTTATCAACTCAGAATTAGCTACAATATCCAGTATATTTGTACTTGACAAAATTAAATAAAACATTTTATCTATCCTATCTTTGTGCATCTAAAATTTTATGTCTAATTTTTATCTTTTGTCAGCTAAGGAAAACTAAAATTATAACTATCTTGTCTTCAACTTCATAAAAGATCTGAGAAGGAAATCATATTAACTGAGTAAGCAGGAAGTGCAAGCAAGCAACTTCAAATATGTAAGAAATGACAGAAACAGCTAGCTGCCTGGACAGTCACCCAAAGTTCCTCAACAATGTTGGTGCCTACATCTTCAGTCTCCCAGCCTAGCATATCCGACTGATTTTTCAGTGAAGCAGGATTTTCTGAAGGGCTGTCCCTCCTTGTATTGGCAAATTTTTGGCAGTTCTTTCTTTTGTTTTGTTCTTGTTCCTTTTGAACAGTATACTGACAATAGTAGAGGCAGGGTCACTTTCTTGTCCAGTGACTAACTTTTGACACAAGGAAACTAAACTCCATATGTAGTTTCTTCAATGCCCATTTTTTTAAAAGTAGATCCATGTTTCAGGAGCAGACATGTTTCATTGTCATAAAAAAAATGGGGCTGGAGAGATAGCTCAAAGGTTAAGAGCATTGCCTGCTCTTCCAAAGGTCCTGAGTTCAATTCCCAGCAACCACATGGTGGCTCACAACCATCTGTAATGAAGTCTGGTGCCCTTTTCTGGCCTGCAGGCATACACACAGAATATTGTATACATAAAAAATAAATAAATAAATAAATAAATAAATATTAAAAAAGAAAGAAAACACGAACAATATGCTATTAAAACATCTTAAAAGCCACATTATGTAGATCTTCGAAGATTTTGATAATTACATATCTATCTGAAATATATCTCTTCATATCTAGAAAACCTAACTAACATGTCTGTAAGTTTGACTATCATAGATAACTATTAATTTGTGTTTCTTATACATTATATTTTAAAGTGAGCTACATAAACATAATACCTTAACCAAGAGTATAAATATACATACATTATAACAAAATACACCTTAAATTTGTATCAATAAACCAAAATCCGTACGATTTAAAGGATTTTGAGATGAAGTTATTTTTTGAATTAAAGTTGATTCAATAAACTACCTTTTGTTCATCAATTCTATAGCATACTCTACTTTTTTTCATCAGAAAGAGAATGACTATGACCATTAAATATTTATGATCAACCTCTCTTAAAAGAAAACATTTTTATTTTAGGAACTTGGGCATAGTTATCTTGCTTCCTACTGATTGTTGAGTGCAGTGAACTTACGGGAACCCTGATAAAATTTAGAGTTAAGGCCAAGTCCTGATTGGGGTATTTTGTGTGATTGGTCCATCTCAACCAACAGTCATAAAGTTGTCATGGATTTTGGATCATCTGGGTCATCATTTCAGAAGGTCCTTTTTAATCAAATCATATTAATCTAGAAGGAATCCACAGGTTCTCACATTCTATTGAAAAAAAAGCAGAATCTCTTTTTCAAAGCAACATATCTTTTGATTCAAATTTAGAAGTCAAGATACCTTTAAAATATATAGGTTGGTTTAATTTAGCTCCCACAATCACATGTCTCTCAGAAGATATCTCATTAACAGTCAAAAAAAATCCCAAGAAGATTTTACTATTTTAAGCTGTATTTTATTTATTTATTTATTTATTTACCACTGGTCATTCCTTTTCTTCATTTTTTTCTAAACCTAGCCCATTTGGAGGGTTTCTTTCCTTGCTTTTTCTTTTCTCTCTTCTGTTTTTTATTGCATATCTCCATCTTTTTTGACCATATGAGCATTTAAGATACATGGTTAGGACCAGAGAGCCTCAGCTTTGGATGCTGGTTCCCCCCTGTTCAGCTTTCCTTCATGGCAGAGGTACGTTCACCTCCAGCTCTGGGAGCCATACAGTCCCAACTCTGGAAAGCAACACTAACTGGCTTGCAGCTATGTTTTTAGCCCCAGGGCTGTGTTCTTAAATCCTCAGGCAGTGACTGGGAGAAGCTTCTTTGTATTGTGAACTGTGAGAGACTAAATTTAAACCTATATATCATAACTGTGGCAGAACTGGGGCCATAGGACCAGAAGCCCTGCCAGGCTGGTGGCCTGAGTGGCCAGGGCACTGACTATAGTTCTGTGGGATGGCAAACGGTAATTAAAATCTCAGTAGAATCAAATGAAGCTGCTATGCTGACAGGAAAGCATCAAACACACGTTTACTAATCTGTGTTACCCAAACACACTTGGGCCTCAGGACGGCATAGTTACCCAAACACACTTGGGCTTCAGTTTGAGCATAGTCAACCCATCAGGGCTCAACCCTTACAGTCAAATCAACTTATACAAACTCCAAGTGAAACTTCTGACTATTGCCTTGGATTTAAACCAAGACTGTGAAGGGCCACATCCACATGCCCCATTACAAGATGGCGCTGGCATCCGGTTTTACCGCCAGGTGAACGCACATGTGCTAGGTAACTTTCCACTGTTGTCCCCGCCTACTCCCGGGAGGCTTCACCTGGGCTAATTGGGCAGCAGACCAATCCAAGGGTGACACGTCCGAAGCAAGGACTGCTTCCTATATAAAGGAGGGGTTCCCTCATTTTAGGGGTCCCCGGCCATGTTGGCTTATGCTCTAGCTCCCAAGGGGCATTAAAGCTTTTCTGCAGAAGAATCCTAGTGTCCCTCGTGGTTCTTGCTGGCGAGACGGTAGCGTGGGACACAAGACTAAACCTCCAAAACAGCTTCTCTCATTTACACTCAACATAATATTATAATTATGTGTTCTAGAAAGTACCCACCTTCTGGTGGCCTGAAGTTAAATGTCCTTTGGTGAAGGGCATTTTATACAAAAAAGCAACAAAACCCAAAATCTTATTCTATTATTTTCTATGTTTCATTGTATAGCCTTCTCTGTGTTCCATCTGATCATGCATGCATATGTATCTAAATATTTCTGCTAGGTCATGGGTCCCCAGAGAGAGACTTCCATCATGCAAACAAATTGGGTGTTATGTCATGGAAAAACCAAAAATGGTACTTTCATCAGAAAGAAATTTACAAACACCTAGTCAAGGTTTGAATATTGGCATGAATCCATGTGGTAAACACTCTATCATTTATAAAACATGTAGCAACCAAACATTCCATAGTGCTTTTATCAGCATGCCCAAATGACAAGCCAAACACTGATTTTCACTTTTAGGATACACACTGCAGAGCCAAATCAGGAAAAAATACAACACAACAATTACATGATGTATTGCCTATTCTCATCTCAACACACCAGCTGAATCTATCACAACCAGGATTCAGCAGCCAAACTTCTTAATCTAAACAACCAGAAATTTTCTCCCTCCTCCAAAGACATCAAGTGAAGACAAGTGAGAAAACCTATTCTGCCTAGACACTGGCAAGATACAGTGGGAGTATCAGAGGAAAGTGGAAACCAAGAAGTTCAAACAAAATGAAGCCTTAATAAACAGAACAGGAGGGAAGGCAAATTGCCAGTGTGCACCGGGGTCTGTGTGCTGAAGCTGTGTGTCACACCCTGATCTTGGGGGTAAATTCATTCATATATTTCCATTTCCATTTTGTCATTCACAGTCTAGGAAAGGCTGTGATGTTCTATGTCAGAGAATTGAATGGGAGATAGTGGTTCATAAAAAGACTCATTTTTCCATTTCTGGGAGGAAATGCTGGAAAATTATGCTTCCGAATGAGGTGCTGAGTGTTCAAATTGTTTGCCTACTCAGAAACTAGAAAATAGGGCTTCCAAGTTAGATCAATCACATGTTTTATTTGGTACAAAGGAATAACAGAGAGTTTCAATATTCAGTCATATCAAATAAACCAGAAGCACTCCCAGTGAATCGCTCGGTAACACCAGGGCAATTGTATTTATCTCAGTAAGCCTAATGTTCACTCACATTGACTTTGAGAAGTTAGCTTTGATATTCTTTGAGTATCAATCTGACTGCCTCTGAGGAGGCAGGAGATAATGAGAAGCCATCAACCTCAATTTTCAGATTGAGCAATCATGATGGGTGCAGCGTCTGGACAAACAGTAAAAGTTCTCTTGTCTTCACAATCTTTCAGTACATAAGCACCAACCAGATACCAAAGTGTCTGTCCAATTGAGATGATCACCCAGCAAGAGTGAAGTAAACAAAGGCAAAGAAATCTGTTGGGGAAAAAAAAAACTATGTTGTAAAAAATTTTCTTTTCATTCTTAATAAGAATTTTACCTGAAAAGACATACTTCAAGGAGGTGTTTATAATCTTATTGAAGAAAGAAAAAGAATGAGATTGAATACATTGTTATTTAGAACAAATATTAAACACGTACTGGATGCCACCCTTTCTGGGTGTTTTCTCAGAGAACACACACATCAGTTTTCACCGTGAGTGCAGGGATTAGTATGTAAATGACTACAGTAGATTGCCATCACTCAGCTTTCTTTTACCCCATTTCCTACTTTTCCCAGCACCCTAAGCTTTAGTTAGACTCACAAGAAGTTTAGATGCAACACTTTGAGGTTCTTTGTAGACATAGGTTATATTTTACTAGTATAGCATGTGAACTTGTTTGTGTTAGCCACTCCAGTGATTTAAATGATTATTACCCATAGCCTCCTCGGTTGTTCCATTTTAGGGAGGTGTAAGGTGTGTGGGTTTTTGGAGGAAGTAAGACACTGGAGAGTAAAATGCTCACACCACTTCATTTGTTCTCTTTCTGCTTCATGCCTAAAGTTCAAGATGTGAGCTTTCAGCTTTCAGATTCTGCCACCATATGCGGAACAAATGAGATTTTGACTGAGAGTAGAAGAAATAATTCTGTTGATTATAAAGAATCAAAGTAAATTAACTAAATAATAATTATTAGAACAATAGCTATTCCAAATAGCAGACTATTCATTTTCTTTTATTGATTAGCACACCAAAGAGGAATTATACACATAGAATCAGATAGTGATTCTATCAGTCTATTGGTGACTTGTAAGGTTGTAGAAGATACACAAAGAAATTAGATAAAATATAAATTCAATGACTCATGAAATAACTTGAAACAGTGGTCACTGAAATAAGATTATAGGATAATTTAGTGTTTTGTCTGACAAATAGGTTGAAAATTGGATTAAAAATTAATATTACTATGTAAATTGTATATGCTAGGCTAGTTGAAAATGAGAGAAAGAATTAATATAATAAGAAAGAATTTCTAACATTGTTTCTCAATTCAGAATGTATTTCATACATATAAATAAACACATATACATACTACCTATGTTTAGAATATTAAATTGATCAAAATATACAAGCAAAATTTCAAGTAACGCGACAAATTGGAAAAATATTCCAACTACCTGTACAAATTCAAGGTATTGTTCTCTCTAATATGTAGAAAAGTATGCTTTATGCAACAGAATGACTAAACTAAATGAAATATGTGTCATTTTAAGAAAGAAAGTACACGGTAATAGAAAGAATAATGTCTTGTAAACATACAGCAACTTCACCTTTTGTTCAGTTGTCAGAAAACAATGCTGGAGCATTCCACGTTAGAGACTGTGTAATCCTTAAACGATAAACGGTCTCAATTCCACACCTCTGGAGAAAAAAAAAACTATATCCACATAGATTATTAACACAATCTAAATCTGTGATAAAAATTACAAATGCATGTACACTTCAATAAGCTATTCTAATTTTGAAGATTTATTCTATGACTACACATCCATACAACAAATGAGAAATACAGAAAGCTTGGTTACACCATTTTCCGTATTAGTATGAGATTGGAAATTGCATGAATGCCATTACTTACACACTAGTGTAAGTAAGGTAGCTGTGAGATAACCCAGATGCTCTCCTCACACTGAAATGGAGTGTTCCATCACATGAATTACAACATAATGTCAACTCTTGCGCTACCATCATATAAAACAGGTAAAATACAGAAAGTGTATGTATATTTTGTTTTATTTTAGGATTTTCTATAAGTCACCCAAAATAGTAAGAAAGTTAATATCTGAGGAAAACAAACATAATTGAGTAAGGGGTGGTTAATATTAGAATGAGTATTGTCACTGAGCAAGGTAGCATACACCTTTCGTTCAGCACTAGGGAGGCAGAGGAAGGGGGCTCTCTCTGAGCACAAGGCCATCCTGGAATACATAGAGATCTCCAGATCAGCCAGGACTAGACAGTCAGATTTTATCTCAAAAATTTATCATTTATTTATATAAAAACAGATATTTTAAAAAAGAAGCCCCTCTCTTATTAAAAGTTACCAGTTAATAAAAACAACAAGCAATACTTTTATATGGGGGCATGAGTTGGAAAAATTCCACATACGTATTTATGTTTTCTTAGAACTCTTTGCCAAACATAACATCTCACAACAAAAATGCTAGTGGATATGTGTTTAAAAATACAAATGCAGGGTCTGGGGAGGTGGTTCCATGAAAAAAATCAATGACTGTGTAAGAATGAGTGCCTAAATGTGTCTTCACCATGGACTGAAGCATTATCCCACTTAGTATTAACAATAAAAACCTTGAGTCGGATATTGGAGTGAATACTGAAAAATTAAAAAAGCAAAGGAGCATTTACAATCACTTCTTACCTCTCCAAATCCTCAGTTTAAAAGGACCAATAACCTATGTATTCCCTGCCTTATCACTTCTCTCTCTCTAGTCTTATCAATTCCTGTCTCCTGTCTATCTAGACCTCTAGACCTGTATGGCTATCTAGTAGCTATCTCTACCCTCTGATACCCAGGCAAGCACTGTTTATCAGAACACTAACAAAATATTACACATTTTCCCCTTTTGTCTGAATAAAAAGCAAAGATTAACACTAACAGAAGAAAGCTATACATGATAAGTACAGTAACTATATACAGTATATACAGTCAAGTATTACATTAGCAGTGTCTAGTCCATATGCATTTGACAAATTCAGAGAAAATACCCCATTATCTGTTCTATCTTGGTGAGTGAAAAGTGTCGTACCTAATTCACTTTCTACCCTAATTTGCATTACCAACCCAAAACTATCTTTTGATGTCTCTCAACTTTATACACTTTACAGTTCTTCTGTGAGTTTCTTTTCTAAATTAGTTGACAAGGAAAACTATAACTATTTAGCCTTCAACTCCATCAGAGAACTTAGAAGGGTATACTAGTAACTGCGTAAGCAAGAAGTGCAAGCAATGACTTCCAAAAAATGTAAGAAATGAGTAAAACAGCTGATTACCTGAACAGTCACACAAGACTGTTCTCTGCAGTGTTGGACTATCTATCTTCGGCCGATAGGCCTGGGATATCTGATGACCATTTCTGTGAAGCAGGATATTCTGAAGGGTTCTTTTTCCTTGTCTTGGCAAAGTTTGGCAGTCACATTCCTCTGTGTCTTGCTTGTCCAATTAAGAAAGCATACTGTCAGCATTCAAGGGAAAGGAACTTTTTTACACAGTGGCTAACTTTTGCCACAAAAAATAATCTTTAATATTATTATTATTATTATTATTATTATTATATTGGTTATAATTTTTTTATGTCACTTATTCACTTATGAGGAAATACATACTATATTTGACTTTCTGGGTCTAGTCACCTGACTCAGGGTGACTTTTCTGCTTCCACCCATTTGCCTACAAATTTCTGGATGCTATTGTTTTTTCCTGCTGAGTAATACTCCATTGTGTAAACGTACCACATTTTCCTTACCCAGTCTTTGGTTGATGGGCATCTAAGTTGTTTCCTGATAACTGTTACCACATGGGAAACTCATATATTAAAGACTGCACTACATGGCAAGTGGTTCCGAATTTCAGGACATCTCACCAAGTTTCTCTGTACAAGACTGCCTCCTAGAAATCTTACATTGATGTCATGTTCAACTTAAAGAGTAAGTAAAATTTTTGGCATTAAAATTCTATTATTTTCACCCTCTTTATCAAGCTTGTAATTTTTTTAAATATGAGCTAGTGATGTCTGAATAGATAATATTTGCTAACATAGGCTGTGGTTTAATAGTCAGTGTTTTCACTCATACATATTTTTTCAGGTTCTCTGCATTGCTAGATCTTTGTGTTTTGATTTTCTATTTCATTGGGTGAACGAGTGGAACATCATGATGCAATGAAGGTAACTAATAGATTATGCATCTATACTTGAACTTTTTTATCATTGATGACAATTCTTATCCAAAAAGTTCTTGAAATAGAACTTTACCTATAAACATATTACATCCTGAAAGTGCCACTGAGTGTCTGTGACGATGAGTGTCTCAGTAAGATGGAAGTTCAGTGTGCTGATCACATTTGCTGTTTTAATCCAGAGTTCTTCTGACCAATGAATAAAATCAAGGAAACATGGAGCATAATAGATACTTGCTATCACTGTGCTATTGCTGTATGTGTTTGAACTTGCTAGAAAGTCTGACAATAAAGGTTAAATACACATAAAATAAATGATAAATCTGTCTAATCAGTCATTTCACAAAATGGCAGAATGTACATATTGATTGATATAACCATATTTTCATGTCAATATATGTCAAGACTTGGGCAAACTGTTTATTAAAACAGAAACAAATAAGTGATTCCTTATGCATAGCTTTTTTTTTTTTGCTAACTGATTTTTGGAATAGTCATCATTTTTAGCTAATGCTGGGTTGTAATGAAGATCTTGGTGCTGATCATCATTTATATCTGTCCTTTAGTTATGAAACACACCATCCACTAAGTAAGTCTTTGATTTTAGAAATTTTAATTTCCCTGTTTCATGCTTTCCTTATCTGTACAGCTTAGACAAGAGTGTTTTCTAAGTAGCAGCATCTAAATGATTAAATAATTAAAGTTTTAATAATTTGTAGTCCTCCTGGTATGTACCAAAGTCTGTATAAAAGGAACTTAACTCTAATCTTACATATTGCTTGATAGTATGATTAAATCAATATCCATCCTGTTAAAAGTTTTCATAAATATTGTGGACTTCCTATATTGTATACTCAACATTATTCCCTTTTAAAACTTATTATTATTACTATTATTGCTGCATGTATACATGTGTAATGTGTGTATATGAGTACAGGAACATGGGTACCACACTGCATGTGAGGATAAGGAATACCCTCCAGGAGTTGGCTCTCACCTTCCACTATGGGATACTGGGACTGCACTCAGGCCACAGCTTTGTGTGCAAGTAATTTTACCTCTGCTCTATCTCACCAGATATTACTGTTGTCTTCTTTAATAGCAAAAAGTGAGAAAACACTATCTTCTACTCATGACCCATCCTCCTGTATTCTTGAAGCAGTAAAAGTATTGATAAAATATGAGGTTTAATTTCTTTTTATAAAATCTTAGACAGGATATGTTGGCTGAAAAACTATTACAAAGACATTATAATATAGATGGTATTTGATGTTGTGTCAATCATAAGAAGCAGGCATTACACAACCCCCTAAACATTGACATAAGCGAGCTAAGAAGTCCGAGAGATTACCTCACAGATGCTCAGTGGTGTTTCAGTTCTGTGGGGAAAATTCAACTGATTGCCACCCATGGGAGTTCCAACAAAGCCTCAAATCAAATGTTTTTGAGTGAGTTCGTGAGTCACAAGCATTAGAATAGTGCTTTTTATATGGAATTAAAATCAAAGACATACTGTAATTTGCCTTCAAAATTACACTTTATGATGACATTACTAAATATATATGTGAAAGTAGTAGTAAAACTTCTAATAAAATAATACTTATAACTCTCTATGTGTTTACTCCAGTAACTGTGCTAAACTTTTTTCATAATGAGTATTGACGTGTGTTACCTCAATAAGCCTCATCATATAATGGAGACAGATAAACTGTCTACTTTAGAAACTGAGACAAGAAAATGACACAACCTCTTCAAAGTCATACAGAAAGTTAATCGGGTGAGCAGAACTAGGGAAAATGACCCTTAAAATTATTTGTTAAAAATCTATTGTGTGTGCACATTATTATTTTTATTTTAAACAAAAATATGTATAGTTCTAGTTGGTCAGATTTATTTATATCAGACTTGCTTCAGAGTTATGATATACCTGCTTCAATGTCCTCATTCTAAGATTGCAGGCAACAATTTGAGGCTTATAGTATCATTTCTTTACAACAAAGGGAAAGTCAGTTTAAAAGATCTATATAACCAAAAAACTCTGATAAAGTATGTTTGGGGGTATAGCTGTGGTTTCCATTAATTTTTGTACTGTTTATTGACGTGTATGTTGAATATAATTCAGTCTACAGTTATGAAAGTACCAATGATCAGTTATAACATCTCAACCAGAATCATATAAGCCTAATGATAATTAAGACAAAGTTGTTAAATGGCAGAATGAATAAGTAGTCTGTCTACATAGAGTCAGCACCAAGAATCCTGGACTCTTTACAGTCAAATTTTCCAATTTTGGCTCTGGTAGTCAGTAACCTGGTACCTTTTGTTCTGTGATATAAGTACTTCAATTGATCCTTAACCTCTCCTCTGACAAGCGTGTCTTCTTGAATACAGATCTAAATGTCTCCTCTCGAAGACTTGAAAGTCTATGAAGCAGGTTCTCCTGACCATTTCCCTCTGCTTTATATGAAATGTAAACAATTCATCATTTCTGAAATTATTGGACTTCTACTTCACTCAGGACTTACAGAGTGCTTTGATTACCAAACAGGCATGGATTCAATATTTTACTGATTTCACATTCTAATGAGAAAGATGGATATGTGTTGGGGAAGGGAAATGAAGGCTTGTTGTCTAGGAAAATATAATGGACCACGTGGTTAAGATTTTACAGTGTGTTTCCTAGGCAATTGTTAACTAACTAGTCCACATAAATTAATTAAATTATATTGACCTTCAATATTTTAATCTTGATGTTTTATTAAAATATAATTCATATTTTGTGATATGCAATGTGCTGTATTACATGGTGTGTGTGTATGCTTGGAAGGAGGAAATAGTATTATGATCTATAATCTCAGCACTTCTGAGCTAGAGGCAGAAGGATCAAGAGCTCATGGTCATTACTGTTTCACCATGAGTTTGAAGCCAGATCCTGCTCAGAGTGAAAATACATATATATGTACATATATAAATGACAATGTAAGGGGAAAATATCTATGAAAATTATGTGCTTCTTATGGGTCTATGAGCTTTTCTGATTCCAAGTGATGAAATATACTTACTGTTATGTTTAAATTTAAATATCAAACATAAAAATGCACATGCTAATGACGTATTATGGGGTATCATGTAATATTTTGATAAAGTTGTATAATGTGTGAGGGTAAATTATCTTTAATATCTATTTTTTAAAACATGTATCATACCTTTGTAGTAAAGCTCTCAATAGCTAGTTTCTAGTTTTTAGAAATGCACAAAACATTATGACTTACATAGTCACTTTTTATTGCAATTACCTACCCCTATTTGTTCCTCTTCTCTAACTGTAGTCTAATACTTAGTTTCCTCAACACGTTCCTTGGTGTCTGATCTCTACCATTCAGCTTGTACCGTTTAGGATGCTCAAGATTTTGATTTTCTATATAATAGAGGCCAAGTCTCCCTAAGATATTAATTCTGTGGGCATGATATCATCTGTTCTTTAAACAACTATGAGTTAATCCTGCTTTTCTAATATAAATTTTTATGTATGCCTATTTTACAGAAATTCTAAGTTTATTGCTTATTTTGTCTCTAAGTATCCAATCATTCCTAATGTTTCAGTACTGAATGGCATCCAAGTTCAGCCTTTCAAGTTTACTTTTGATCCATGGTCAAAGTTTCTGCACTAAAGGACAATCTTAATCCACATTTATAAGAACTATGTGATCTATTGGTCAGGACGAAACACTAGGTAACCTACAAATATTAGATTCCTGATATTTCTTCTATGTCTGTGGTGCAAACCAGTTAACTGCATCTCAGCAATTAACCTAGATTAGAAACTGAAGAGCTTTGCTAAGATCTAGGCATAATAGAAGATGGACCAGCCTAAGACTGGTGCCCGTCTCTTTCAATTCTAAGGTGAGTCAATGTCAACCTATATCCTACCAAAGACCACACTGCTAAGAACTGTCAATTACTGAGCGGAATTTGTAGATCAAGTCCACTGCCTTTTGCTGCAGAATATTAGCCATAGTAGAATTTGATAGACGAGGTTGATGTGATTTTTTTTTTCCACTCTGGGAATCATTCCACAGGCTACTAGAATCTTCCCTAAGTTACGCTTTATTTCACCTGCTAGTTACTGAATTCCTAGTTGTCTCAGTCACTATTTTATTGGTGATGGAGAAAAATCTTATTTAAGAAGGCATTTATTTGTTACAGTTTCAGTCTTTTATCATCATGATGGGGAGCATGGCGGTAGACA